GCTACGGTGGCTGCTGATAGCTGAGAACCAACCTGCTGTGCCACCTGGGGGCGGGGGCTGGATTTTTTTTGTGTATGTGTGGGTGTGTGTGTGTGTGAGTTTGTCCTCTGTTTAGGACACTGAGCCTGTATCAGATGTGTCACCTGCAAATCTTTTCTCCCACTCTGCGGTTGTCGTCATTCTTTGGACTCTACTGTACAGAGGCTTTGGAGCTTGATGTCCCACTTATTTTTCCCTTCTTGCTTGTGCTTTTAAAGTTATGTTTAAGCCAGTCACTGCCAGAGCACGTCAAGGAGCTTTTTCAGTTTCCTTCTCAGACTTTGATGGTTTCAGGCCTTAGGTGTAAGGGTAGAGGCAACTTTTTGTAAGATGTCAGATAGGGCCTCAGTGCTTTTTTTTGCCACGTGGATATTTAGGTAGCGTGCATTTTCCCCACTGTGCATTTTCAGTGGCCTTGTCCAAGGTTAGGCCACGTGTGTGTGGACTTCGGTCTCCTCTTGGGCCATGCGTCTGCAGTACATGCTGCAGCGTGATGCTGTGGCTGGAGCTTAGGAAGTGTGACGCCTGCGGCCCTGTCCTCTCTGAGGCTTCTTGCCCACGTGGGTCTCCGGCTCCACACACGCCTTAGGTTGAGTTTTTCTTTCCGTGAAAAACCCCACTGGAGTTTTGATAAGGCCTCCTGGACTCTCTAGACTGCTGAGGGGAGTCTGGGGACTTTAACCAGGTCGATAATCCTTGTGCAATGAACGTGGACAGTTTTACCATTTGTCATTTTCAGCTGCTTTCATCACTGCCGTACGGTTTCCGGGGTATGCATCATTACCTCCTTGGTTAAATTTATTTCTAAGTATTTATTATTTTTAGCATGTTTGGTCACAGAAATATTGGTCTTTTCTTGAGTTTTTGTTTTCTGGTGTTGGTATTAAGGGAATACTGACCTAATTGATCCACTGACCTCATGGGGCGAACACTTACCTGTTCTTTCAAGACCTGTGAAGGTTTGGCGCTAATTCTTCTTTGGTAGAATTCCGGGGTAAAGCCACCTGGGACCGGGCTTTTTGTTAGTTTTAAAAATTACTGAGTGAGTTTCTTATTTTAGGTCTGTTTATATTTTCTGTGTTTCTTGAAATGGGTTTTCCGTCGTTTGTGACTCCAGGAGTTTGCTCCTCAGCTACCGGCATACCTGCCTTCATGGTGTGCCCTTGCATTGCTTTTTACTTTTAAACGAAACCTCCTTCACACGCGCTGTTTCCAGCCCACAGAGGGAACAAGGCGAGTAAATGAGCCGACCTCCAGCGCTCACAGGGCAGCGTGCTGCCGGGCGCCGTGAAGGGAGCCTGAGGGGCCGCGGGGAGTCTCAGAGGACACGTGGGGCCAGCCGAAGCCCTCGTGACACTTTCTGCAGTCTACCTCCTTTTCTTCCCAGGTGTGTCCGGGCTCTTAAAATTTACATGCGTCCTTACCTGTTTTATATTTGTGGAGAGAAAGGTACGCTGCGTTGTTGCTGGCATCCCCCACGCTGGGGGTGGAGGTTCTTTAGCGCAGACCAGAGCGGGTTGCTGAGGCGACTCACCCCTGCGGTGCTCTGACTGAAAGGCCTGGCTGGTTCCCGCTTCTGCCGCGTGGGCGTGCGGGGCCCCTGGAGGTCTCTGCAGAGGGGTCGGGCTGGGGTTACCTAGTGCAGGCCGCACCGGACGCCCTCTCCCCTTCCACCGGGTAAAGAGGACCTGAAGTCCTGGGGAAGCCGCCCCTCGTCGCCACAGTGTGTGGGCTGAGGGACACCCTGGCCCTGGCCAGGCAGGTCTGGCGGGGGAGGAGGCGCCCTCAGTGGCAGCCCAGCCTGTCTTGCCCAGCAGGGAGCCAGGCAGGATGGACCCTGGGAGGGGAGGCAGGAACCCCTGATGCAAGGAGGCGTTACCCGGCCTGCTGGCGAGCTGGCGGGTGGCTCGTTCGCCACACTCGGGGTGAGCCAGCTTCGCCGTGGGGTGTGGACAGCAGTCTGCTTTGGAGGTCTGCGTGCCATCACTGGGGTCTCCACACGTCTAAGGACAGACAGCTTCTGCTTGGTGTCCCATGGACCTGTCTGGGCGAGGGCCGCGCCTGAGGTGTGAGGCCTCAGGGGCTCTGGGGGCTGTGTCAAAGGAGGTGCCTCGGGCCCGGGTCTGCCTGCTTCCCTGCCCAGAGCAGTGGGCTGTTCTCAGATAGCAAGCACCATAATACATCAAAATGTTTTTATTTGAGACACAAAAATGCAAAATTGCTGAGATTATCAAACATTTCCCGATCAGCTACAATACTGCCACTATGTACAAAAGATCCGATGATAAATGTGCACACATATAAAATACAGTATGCGTTGCCTATGTACAGCACATGTGCAAAACGCAGGCCGTCCAAACATGATATGGAATTGGTTTCAGGGGTGCAAACAGCAAATACAAAGGCATCATGGTTCTTCTTTTAAAAAACAACATAAAGGCAACACATGAACGGCCCCCGACTGCCGGGGCGCTTCAGCAAGCAGGGCTCTGCAGGTTGGTGTCTTTCTCCTTTTTTCCATAAAGTGAGATGCTGAGACATAATGTGACAATGAAAATAAGAAGAAAACACCCATCACGTTGCATTTCTATTGCAAGCAAGAAAGTCATTTGTAGGTAGAAAGGAAAAAAACTCTGTATTACTACTAAATACGTATTCTTCTTAAACCAACAAATCTATACTATTTTACATAAAAACAATAGAGAAATATCTACATCTTTGTGAAAATTATAACCTTAAGTGGAGAATACCTTTTTGGGATTTTTGAGATCTCTTTAGTCTCACATTTTAAATACAAAGTGCCGTCTTTTGGCAAATACTTGGCAATGCCTTTGGTTCCTTAAAGCGAGTTTGCATTACTGTTGGTTATGGGAGGTTAAGTACTTCTGGTCGATCCTGAACCCTCTAAATGTTTCCTTCCACCTAACTAGCAAGTGTCTTTACAGCACAATGCAGAGGTAATTGTTAGGAGTCTCGGTGCTTCTGCGACCTTGGTTAAAGCTTTGTCTGAGTAGTTGGCACAGAGCTCTGCCACACAGCAGCGGGCGGTCTCGCCAGTGACCGGCCTGCTGGGCTCCGGCAGCGCGCGCGGCCCGAGCCGCCCGCCGCCACGCGACGCGCCTCTGCCCCGGCTCGCGAGCTGAGTGCCGGCGGCCCAGGGCGCTCTGTAAACATGTGCAGCTTTTCTGGATCACAGGCCTCGCGTGGAGAGCAGGCGGAAACCTTCCGGGGGGAGGGCAGGGGCCAGCTCGTGGCCAGGCGGCCCCTGCACGACGCGTGCCGCAGAAAGGTCACTGAATACTAAGTCGCTGGAGGCTTGACCCAGGGGAAACTGTTACTAACTCACGTTTTTTCCAGTTTTGACAGAAGTCTCGCCGCAGACGCGCCCCAGACACACGCTGCGGCGCCTGCGCGCCCTTCCAGTGGCCGCGCCGGCCTCGTGGGCGGTGTCCGGGTGCCCTCGGCACAGGGGGCGCCTCTGCAGCGGACACCCGATAGCTGTTCGCTCTAAACGGCTGCGCCGAGGCCAGGGGCTGCGCGCCCGCCCAACGTAGGGGGCTCGGCGGGAAGCTCCGTGGCCTGGAATGATCTTGGTGGGGTGGGGGGCGGGGGGCAGAGGAAGCCTGAGTCAGCGTGGGTAGGCGGTGGGCAGCCGGCGTCAGCACAGCTCAGGGCGTCGCCTCGCTCCCCGCCGCCCGGGACAGGCCGCACTGGCCCCACTGTCCCGTCCTGAGCTGCAGTGACCCCTGCCGCGGGGCTGGTTCTGGGGCTGCGGAGCGGTGCGGGTTTTAGAAAGCAAATTTAAGTAAGATCGCTTTAGTGAAGAAGTATCTGAGCCAGCGGTGCCTCGAACTCAGAACCCTTCTCTGTACAGGCGTGGGCACTGCGCGTGGCCCCCACGGCTCAGGAAAGCTGTTGGCAGGCCCAAGGCCGCCCGGGGTCCTGCTCGTGCCGTCCATGCACACGGACATGTCTTGTGTTTCAGGGACACTCAGGGACCCAAGGCTGGAGGTGAGTCCACGCGCTCTGGGAGCTAGTGCTTCTCTTGGCAATGTGACATGTGCATGGCCGCTCGGGACAGCGCCCCTGGGAGCCGTGCACCCCGCCCTTTCATGGCCGTGAAGCTCGCCCCAGTCACAAGCCCCCTAGTGCTGACGTCCTACGCACCGATTAGGGCAGAGGAGCCCTCTGGGGGTGTCGCGTGCGCCGTGTCCTGGTGCCGAGGACGTGCTGGTCCCTACTGGTCTGGACACACGTGTGAGCGCCTCGCCACAGGCAGGCAGCCCGTGCAGGGCTGTGTGGATTTTTGGAGCACAACTGTCCTGCAATACTTTTCAAACCTGATTTTGGAAAAGCAAGCAGGGTCCTGAGGGCTAAGGAAAGAGCCTGTGTACACAGCGCAGGAGGTGGGGACAGAACGCCGTCCAGCCGTGCAGGTGGCTGCCGGCCCGCTGGGCCTGGGATCGAGCACCCCCCTCCCGCCGGGAAGTGCTGGTACTGGGGCTCCAGTGAGGTGACTGAATTCCGGGAAGGCGGACTCAGACGTGCAGTACAACTTACAGACTGATCCACACCCGAGTGAAGACCAGCTCTGAGGCAAAACGCAAACCCAGAAACCTTCCGTGAGCGGAGCAGCCTGCCCTGGGGAGGGGTGTGACGTGTGGTTCAGTAAGAGCCTCCACACCTCTTTGGAGGGTTTTCGGGTTATTTACACTTTGCATCTACCAATAACTAGCAAATAACTAGCTTGAAGTAACTTTGGAAATCCTGTGACGGTTGGCATTTTAGCAAATTCTTAAATCACTGAATAGATTTAATTCTCAAATTGATCATGTTTTCTACATAAGAAACTAATAAAACCTCCAGTTTTTCAACCTCAGGCCTGACGATGCAGTGAGAATTTCGTGTGACGTCCAGTTACGAGCGGCGCCGGCGGCTGACCTGGCGCGCACGGGAAGGTGCTGGGTCCAGTCTCCTGCCCGCTCCCCTCACTCACCAGCTCAGATGTTTTGCGCTAAAGCCTTTTTCTTGGTTCTTTGAGATGGGTCTGGTTACCTGAAAGTCAGCGATTATTCAGATGCAGAAACACACATGGCTCAAGGACTCAAGGTACCCCGAGGCAGCGGACACCCCACCCTGAGAGGCCATGCGGGCACGGGCAGAGCCCACAGGGGTCTGCTGTCCACAGCTGCTTACAGTGGGCTGGTTACGACAGTGTTTTTGTCTGGTTATGGTCAAAATTTAAAAATGTTAAAGCAAGACTCCAAAAATCACAAACTATGACACGAAAAATCACATAGGTTTCGACAGGGAACCAGACCGCTGTATGCTGTGGCCGCTCTGGCCGGTGCCTGCACAGCCTCCGAGCCCCGCAGCGCGACAGTGACCCCTCCCCCCGGCATTGTTTGCGTGGAGCTGACGATCACTCATTTGGGGTCTAAAGTGCCCACAGAGGTTCAAGGGCAGTTGGTTACCCGGGAATTCTCGTGCCGCTCTCCTGCACATGCTACTCTTCTCTGTGTAAAGGTGCTTCTCATTTGTTCGTTACTGGCGTCTGGAGAAACACATGAGGCTCCTCGGACACGTGATCTTTCAGAAGGCCCTGGCGCTGTTAAATTGTAGGATCCACTGCAGGTTGCGATGATGTGTCTCCAAACGGGGCTTCCAGGGTGACGGCTGTCCATTCTGACAACCTATTTTAATTGCAACAATGCAACTATGGGTCTGTCTCTAAAAACTGACTTTTTAGAGTCCTCTTCCTCTTAAACCTCGTGAACTCTGACATCAGAAATCTGTGTGTTTAGTCCCACGGCAACGGCAGGTCTTGTGGGTCTAGAAACTCCGCGGAGAACACGCTGGGCGCAGTGGTGCTGAGCGGCGTGAGTCCTGACGAGTTGGGCATGGTGAGGTCTAACCACTCCATGTTGTCCAGGTTTGAGTCAGAGAGGTCAAGCGAGATGCAGGGAGTGCTTGCAGCAAACTGGGTCTCGGACGTCTCCATGGGTGACTGGGAGTGGTCCAGCACGCCGGGGTGACCCAGCAGGTCGCTGTGGAGATCCTCCATCAGGGAGAAGGGGACGCGGTCTTCACTACCACCGGGGAGCGGAGCGATTTCGTTGGCTGAAGGCAAAGTTCCGTCCAGAAAGGCTTCCAGCTGGTTCTCTAGGCTGGCAGAGAGACTGCTCATAGGTTCTAAGGATATGGGCGGGGCCATCTGGACCTGGGGTGGTGGCCGGGACACTGCTGTGTTGACAGGCATGGTGGTGATGCTGGCGGTCACTGGTCTCATCTTGGAAATAGGAGAAGGCTCTTCTTTTATGGGGAGGGAAATCTCTGCAAAACAATTCAAGTGATTAGTAGGTAATGACACACCACTTAGAGCGATTCTGTGGCCAGGTACAGTCCGTGGTAGCCTCGAGGATGAGGATTCACGTTAAACATGATATTCTGATGGTTTCAGTACTCTCACTTAAAGGAAGCATTAAAGGCAGTGGCGCGCTCCAGGTGGAGTGCTTCTAGATCAGTTGATCTTTGGGTCCTTCAGTCATGACAGGCTCGAGACAGGGCTGGTGTCATCTCCTGCCCGGACCTGCGGCCACAGCTGCTCCCACCGCTATAGTGAAGGCCGAGCTGGCATTGGGCGTCACTGCTCTGGAAAGGCACCTCGCCATCCTGTCTTCCTGAGCCACAGCTAACGTGTGGCTCTTTAAGCGTCAGGATGAGGCGTTTACATTTTTTTTTTTTTTTTTTTTACTTTATATATGATAGCTCGAGATTTGGTGACCACCTCAACAAGCACCAGCTCAAATAGCAGAGTACTGGACTATTTGCTAGAGACCAATGTCCATGTAGCTACATATCTTGAATAAGGTGTCTTTTTTACTCTTGTATCTGATTTCACTTACATGCACATGTAATAGGAAGAATGGGTTTTATCACAGCTCTTACAACTCCAGTCATTGGGATAGAAAACAGGAGGAAGAAAGACTGAGGTCTTGCTTCCCACGGGGACTCGCCAGCAGTGTGTACCTGCAGTCCACTCTAGAATTGTTGCAGACTTCGAGGTCAGTCTAAGTAGCCAGGCTTAACTACTCAAACCTCTGTTCTCGTTAATGCTGGTACGCGAAATAACATACTCATTGGACTCTGGCATACAAAAATCATTCCTTGTAGAGAATATTTGGTGACTGTCACATTTTAATTCCCAAAGTTTGGCTTTTCTTTATTTTCACCATATTTGGGAAAAGCAGTTTATTTCTGTCTCTTAAATTCTGACCATGGATGTCTTATTTTTAAAATTTTCATAGTTAAGATATATCGTGAATTTAGATTCTTCTGCAAGGCTAATGTAGTTACCAGCAAAAAACAAACAACACCAAAAAAAAAACAAAAAAAAACCACGCTGCTATTTACACATGTAGATCTGTACTCAATTATCAACAATTTTCTGCATTCTGCCAAAATTACGACAAGATCATTAACCTCAAAATCCAGTCATGTCTGCTGTTGCATGGAGAAATTTTGGTCACTTTAAAACAAACCCTTTTTTCAGGGATATTTTACAAAACTGTAAACTACTACAAAATACCATTTACATTTTGAGATAGTGATGTTAGACTTATTTTTAAGATGTTAACTGAGGTGAAGATACTTGTCTGAGATGAAGTGACAGGCCCCAGAGGCTCTGTTCACTTAACACTTACCATTACCGCTTAGATTGGATTCTGCTGGTTTCAATTTGTATAGAAAGTGCTTCAGAATTGCCTTTGAATTTTCAGAGTCACTAGAGCCCAAGTGAGGTACCTAGGCTGTCAGAACGGGAATGTTTTCATCCCATCGCGATGGCTGACAGACGTGGAATTTAAGTCTGGCCAGCCTGAGGTGGTCTGTCTGTCGCAGCAGGGGCACCCTTCTATGGTACATCTGGCAGGACTGTTTTTCACTGAGTCAGTGGCTTTCGTCTGCTTACAACACCTTGCTGTAGTAGCCTAAACTTAACAGACTCTAAATTAGTAAGTTTAGTGAGGTTAGGAGAGAACGGTCCACGGCACCCGGAAATGCTGTGAGCTCCGGGGGGATGCATCCGGGACTCGGGGTCGCTCTCGCCGCCCAGAGTGGTGTGACCCTGACCTACCTCCACTCTTAATGAGGATATCGAAGAGGTCGTCCATCTGCTGACTGTGTGCGTTGGAAATCTGCGACAGAGGAGAATACAGTAAGTTTCCTTTCATCTACAAACTGAGACTTCAAGCCGCCTGGGGCTCGGCCATTTTCCCGCAGTGTCGCAGCTGGTTAGTCCAGCCACAGTGACAGGAGGGGCCTGGGCTCCTAGTAAGGACACATCCCTGCCCCTTAGGGTGTTTTAAATTTGTTCCAGTAAAAACCACAGTGTGTCGAAGGAACCAGAGTGGACTCTCAGCTTACAGAGTCCGTGACATCCCGTAAGCTGCATCACACAACTGGGTGACTTTCAGCAAGTGGACACGCCTGACTGTCACCAAAGCCACTGATGGCCGGTCATTGCCCCTCACGTTAGCTCGCCCCTCTTGTGCTGATTCCTTCAGCCCCAGGCCACCCAGCGGCCGGTCATTCCGCTACACATTGACATTTTCCAGGTAGTCGTGGACACGCCCAGCGTGTGCTTGTTTTGGGGTGGAGGGGGCTACTTTCTTCAACACCCTAACTTTGAAATTTGTCCACACCTGCACCGCACACCTTAGGAGCAACCCGTATTGCTCTGTATGGGAACTCCAGGGGGTCATAACAAAGCCGGATGTTGGTGTGTCAGTCCAGCAGGGGTGGAGGAGCGGCAGCCTCCTTTACGGGGGGGGGGGGGGGGGGGGCGGGGGGGGCCTGTCTGGCTCTGGCCTGGTGGTTACAGCGTCCTGCACGGACTTGCCGGCACCCTTGTCTCCAGCCCACCCGGGCTCCAAACCCTAATCTCTTGCAGTGTGAGGGTCGGGACTTCCGGACGGCTGGCCAGGGCAGCCCCAGCCTTGCGCAAGCCCAGGTCCAGCCGGGCAGCCTGGCCTTCTGCCCATCCTGACGACGGTGGCGTTCCATCACATTTTTACCTCCACTAGTGTGTTCGATGGTTTCGGCTTAGCTCACCTGTACTTTGTTCCTCCTTTCCTGACCTTGAACACAGCTGTTTTCAAATCCTGGCAAACTGTTCCTTTGTGTCCTTTTTAGTCGTTACACAATACACAGCCTTACTTTTCCATCGGCCCTGAACTCGATGCAGGCGGGAGGCTTCCGTCATCCGCCTTTCTCAGACGGTTTCACCTGCCTTGCTCGCAAGGGCCTATCTCACGCCTGCCAGGCTGTGTGCATCTTATCACTCCCCCTCTCACCGGAGGCTAGTGACTTATCAAGGTCACTGATTTTCTTCATTTTGCCATCTCCATCCAATCTACTAAACTTCTTTTCACTTCAGATGTTGTATTTTTTTAGTTCAGAATTTCCATTTTGTTCTTTAGAAAGAACATTTTTATATTTGTATCACTGGGGATAGTTGTGCAAAAACGCTGACAGCTGGGTTGCCCAGCAGACTCTAACTCCCTAACCCATCTTACTGTTTGTTTCTTTCTCTCAAATGTGCATGTTTGGGGGGACCTGTGCTTAGCAGGCAGTTAAACTCGCTGGGACCGCACAGAAGTGCCAATCTCCGTTGGGGTCTTCTGTCTTCGGCTTAGCTGCTGCCCCTGCTGCATGCCTAGAGCAGAAGTAACGAAAGAGGGGAGGCGCCCCATGGCGCCCTTCTCTGGCTCGGACCAGAACGCCGCTCCTGTGCATGGCTATGTAGCTGCTTCCAGTACTGGGAACAGACTGTGCAGCTGTCACTGGAGGGGGCTTTGAGCAGGAACTGGAAGTCTGGTGTTCAAACGAGGAGCTGCTGAGAGCTCCAGGAACTGGGGGTTTCATACACATGCACTCAGGCTTCCAGTGCCACTACTGACGGAACCAGTATTGAACGTGGCTCCCTTTCTATTTTCTAAGACCTTGTGGTGTAGTTTATTTCCTCTCTGCTCCCATGTGAAGAGAGGATGCTACTTCTGAAAGACCTCTGGGGGGACATTCTAGTCAGCACCATTTATTTCAACTCCTTTTGCAAATATTTAAATCTGTTTCTGAGCTTTGGTTTTTCCCTCACAGATAATGGTCCCTGCTGAGCCTGGAACGGTCCCTGCTCTTGGCACCAAGGACTGGAGGAAGCACACGGTAACTGCATGCTCCTCAAGAGACCCCCCCACACCCTGGGTGAGCGTGCAGCTCCTCCCGGGCTGGGGGGCGGGCTGAGGCTAGGGTTCGGCCAGGAGAGGGTGTGACAAGGCTCTGTGCCAGGAATGCCAGCTTCCCCCACTCCTTAGAATAGGCGTGGCCCCTCCAGCTTCACCAGTGCAGGGAGGAAGCTCAGGGAGGTGACATGCACGCCGAGGCCTGAACCGTCTGAAGGACAGCAGGAGGACAAGGGCCAACATGATGCTGACCTGGGAGGTGGTGGCTTTAGAAAGAGGACTTGCACTGGTCATGGTCACCTCTAGCCCTAATGCAACCCATATTCTGGTCCCAGAGCAAATGTCGGGAGAGAAACTCTGCTTTTCTGAGTAATGGTCAAATCATCAGTGAATACTTAAAAACCATTTCTGGGGCAAACAAGGCTCCGAGCCATTAAAATTTGTTTTTCTATTAAGCACGTTCACTGTAGACGAGGGATTTGTTTTGCAGATGACAGGCCAAGTGCAGGCCCCACTCACCTCTGGAAGGGAGGGCTGGGCACTGCACGTCTGCTTGATGGCCTCCTCGTAGCGCGGAGGGTCTTTTGTCTTGGTGACCGGGCTCCCAAACAGGGAATGCTGGACAATGAACTGTTGGGGCGGAGGTGGGGAGCTCGGCTGTGGGAGACAGGACAGCGCACGTCAGTGCTGGCCTCTCACGTGGCCCGGGCCAGGCCGGGGAGAAGGGTCGCTGCCCCCTGGTGCCAGCCCAGCTGCCCTAAATCGTCGTGATGTTTTTAGCCCATCACCGCCGACAGTCGTAGGTCTAAAGCAGACGTCCGGCTGACACTACCCAGCAAGCGCGCCAGGGGCCAGTGATCGCCACAGGGTTACCTTTGGGGGCGTGTTGGGGCCGTTTTGCAGGGCCGGGAGGGCGGCATTTCGGGTCTGAAGCACACTGGGGGATGTCTTGTTGATGAAGGGCTGCTGGACCCCTGGAGCAGGCGGCCTCTGGTACGGGAGGACTGTGTTTGATGATGAGTTTGTGAAAACCTACAGTGGTAAATATTTCCCATCAATTTCTACTTTTGTTCCTGATAAAGAAAATCATATTCAGAGCAGGGGTCAGAACTTTGTCGCTGGCATGAACAGTGCAGGCCCGTCCCCTACCCTGGGGCCCGTGTGACGGCAGCAAAGCTAAAGAAGGCGGCCTCCTGACTGCCCTCTCGGGGGTGGGGGGGTGCGTCATCTCCCCTGGGCCTCAGCGTTCACGAAGCTAGTCGTCCCGAGCTGCCTTCCTTGTAAATTTGGGACCTCTCAGAGTTAATATAGTCCAAAATAAACTCTCCCCTTTCCTCCCACAACCCCCAGGCTTCAGAGAAGAGAACTCTTGCTTGCATCTCTCCTGCACCTTGGCTCGATGGAGTCGTGTCTCTGACATGCTCCTGAATCAGGCCTCTGCTCTGGGCCGCGAGCCCCCCGACTGGCCTGCCGACCCTAGCGGTGGCTCCGGGCTAAGGCGGCGCGGGAGCCTTCTCGCTGCCTGGCTCCCTCCCTCCCCTGCCCGAGAGGCTGTGCTGTGCTTCCGTTTCTAGCTGAAATCCTTGCAGGCCCTTTCTGTAATGCTGTCTTCTTCCTGCCAGGCAGAGTTTTTTCCTATGGAAATCCAAAGTGTTCTGTTTAGCTTCCACCAGGAGCCAGAGAGGTTGTGGGGCCTTTTGCACAATATATGGCTTCTGCTGATATTCTAACTGTAATTCATAGAACTGGTTTGCTCATAAAAATATTCCTTGTACTTTACTAACAATGATTCTGAAAAACTCCTGTTCCCCCCCCAATTTGTATGGTAACTAAAAAGTATTTAAGTGGAAGTCTGTGCATCTACTGATACAGGCCACCTATACAGATACTACGGTTGCTGAGAAAGTATTTTTTTTTTTTTGTTTCCTCCACAACAGCATATGCTCATACCATGTCTCTGTCAGAAAGTAAAAATCGAACCCAAAGAAGCTTGAGACGTGCTCCCTTGTGGACTGCGGGGCTGGGACCAAGCCCTAGTCTCTCACGTGCACCTGCTTATCCCGTGGACGCCTTTGAATAAGCTGAACTTTGTTATAATTGGGGAGAGAATTGCTTCCTTTCAAGACTCTGACACTCAGCAAATAAACCTCATTCCCTGCCTCTGTGTTTGTCTCGTCTGAACATTCCTGCACGGAAATGTCTGCCCAAAGCATGCTGCTCCCCGCACTTCGCAGGGAGACGCCCAGGGACTTGTGCCTGCGGCACTTGCTGACCTGGGCGGTGTCTGTCTCTCCGGGGCACCTTGGTCCAGCTACACACACCTAGTTTCCTTTCATATTGAAAATCAAAATTCTAGAACTAGCATCCTCAAGGTTTAAGAGTATTAAGATACAGTTGTGAGGCCTTGAGATTTTTCTAGCAAGGACATGCAATATAGCGCCACCTACTGGTTAACAGGGCTTTCTGGGTTACTTTTTGGGGCCACTTAGAATTTTTGATAGAGAATGGTATAGAGGACACAGAGCCCTAGATCAAAAGTCCTCTTAAAGAAGAAATTGCAGAGGAGTAACGTGAATTGTAGGTTAAGACTTGGGAAGTGGTGAGCCAGAATGACAAGCTGACCTAGGCCTCTGTATTAGAGCAAACCTTAAAAATGTATCTGAAGATCTTAAACATGTCAGAGATTATCTTTTTAATCTTGAAATATCTTTTCCCTGACAAAATGGTGAACTTGGGAAGAAACTTTAGATTCTATAAAGGTTAAAAAATCACTTTGGGGGCCCTC